GTTGAGAATTTTCTAGATTGGTATATGGTTAGCATCTGAGATTTTGCAATGGATGGTGTCGAGACTCACGAGATTTTTATATCATTATGGATTATACATTTCAGCATCAGGAAGGTGAAGTTAACGGCTTTAGATTCATAGAAGGTCTCTTTAGAGTGAGTGTCTCGGTTGTGGTACTTTTGGGGTGCTTGAGAGGGAATACAGCGGCTTATGGGCCATAGGGCGGTGTGGTTTTATGCTAAGATCTCCGGTGGTGAGCTTTGGGTAAGGATCTGGCAAGAAGAATTGTCAACTTGAGGGTAATTAGGAAGGAACTCAGGGAAATAGGACAGCCTGATAGTAGGTTGGATCAGCACGGTAAAGGATATGATCAGTTCTTTGGGTATTTATGATGCGGCGAGTCTCTACAGGTGATTCATGGCAATGTTCGTGGGTTTTGGCGGCCTGCGTGGTGTGGTTGAGTGTGATGACCCGAAAGTTCATCTTTAAATTTAATATTTATTTCTGTATTCCGAAACCTCAAATAGCACCATTTAGCTTTCCTCGACTTGCGTGCGCAGTCCGTATATTTTTCCGAAAAGTTTTTATGTGAAAAATTGATAAAAATGTGAAATAGTGCTTTAAAACTCATTTTAAAACATTTTGATGATTCCAATAGCTCTGTATGGTGATTTTGGACTTAGGAGCGTGTCCGAAAAATTATTTGGAAGTCCATAGTTAAACTTAGGCTTGAAATGGCTAAAATATAAATTTAAGTTTGAAAGTCTGCCCAGGGAGTTGACTTTTTGATATCGGGGTCGGAATCCAATTCTAGAAATTTGAATAGGTCCCTTATGTCATTTATGACTTGTGTGCAAAATTTGGGGTCAATCGGACTTGATTTGATAGGTTTCGGCATCAAATATAGAAGTTGAAAATTCTTAAGTTCCTTAGGTTTGAATTGGGGTATGATTCATGGTTTTAGCATTGTTTGATGTAATTTGAGGTTTCGACTAAGTTCGTATGATGTTTTAGGACTTGTTGTTGTATTTGGTTAAGGTCCCGAGGGCCTCGGGTGAGTTTCGGATGGTTAACGGGTTGAATTTTGGACTTGGAGCTTTGCTGGAATTTTTCTGATGCACTGTCTGGTTTCCTTCTTCGCGTTTGCGAGAGAGGTCTCGCATTCACAAAGGGGAACTGGAGGCAGGCGAGTTTTGTTCTTCGCGTTCGCGAAGGGTCGATGGCAGTGTTCATCGCGAACGCGTGAAGGCATTCGCGTTCGCGTAGAAGGGCGAGGCAGGTCGGGTAATGGGCACTAAAGCTTCGCGTTCGCGAAGGCCAAGCTTGGTAAGGCATCGCGTTCGCGAGGTTGCCTTCGCGTTCGCGAAGAGTAATTTTGGGCAGCATAATTTTGTGCTTCGCGAACGTGAGGGTCCTGTCGCGTTCGCAAAAAAGATATCCCTAGACAACAAAACTTAAGTTCTGGAAATGGGATTTCGCCCCATTTTTTATTATTCACGATTTTGAGCTCGGGTAAGGCGATTTTCACGAGAAAATATTAGCGTAAGTGTTTCTTATCCTATATTGATTATATTTCATGATTCCATACTCATTTACATCATGAATCTGTAAATTTATGGAAGAAAAATTAGATTTTTATAAAATCTTCCAAAAATATAAAATGAAGATTTGAAGGTCAATCCGATGTCGGAATTCGATAATTTTTGTATGGTTGAACTTGTATCGGAACGGGTGTTCATATTTCGTGAGTTTTTCTGGGATTCGAGACGTGGGTACCACTGTCGATTTTTAAAATAAATTTCAAGTTTTAATCCAGTAAATTAGTAAATTCATATGGAATTAATTTCATATTGAATTGTTTGTGACTAGATTTGAAGCTTTCGGGCATGAATTCGCGAGGCGAAGGTTTATTGGAATCTTGAAATTGGTTGCGAAGCGAGGTAAATGCCGTGGTTAACCTTGACTTGAGGGAATAGAACCCTTGAATTATTTGTTATGTAAAATTCATGTGAACGACGTATAGGCGAGGTGATGAGTGTTTATACGTCGTCAAATTAATTGTTTGCATAATTATTTGAAAATCATAAATTATTTTAAATTATGAATTAATTGTTATATTAATTGTTTCTCTCATATTCCTTGCTAAATATTATGCCTTGAATCCATGTTATAATTGCTACATGCTTATTTGATTTATGTGACTTAATTGCTACTTGACATTTAGCATACTAATTATTAAATTGCCTATTTCCTCCTTAGTTTCCACAATTAATTGCTACTTGTCATCACTTATTTCTAAATAAATCATAATTATTGTATGCTTGTTGTCTTATAATTTCATATTAATTGTTGCATTTATTGGAGTAATTTCTTTTATAAGAATTGGTAAATTATATTATTTGAGGAGCGGGTTGCACGCCGCAACAGAGTTGATTGAAATGAATATATTGGAGGAGCGGGTTGCACGCTGTAACAGAATTGATTGAAATGAATATATTAGAGAAGCGGGTTGCACGTCGTAACAGAATTGATTGAAAAGATATATTGAGGATCGGGTTGCACGCCGCAACGGAATTAAATGAATATGAATATATTATGGGATCGGATTTTATCTTCATTTTTGGTAATTGGATTATGAGCTTTAAAGAGAAAATTGGGGATTTTAACCTAAAGTTTCATAGAGTAAGTTTTTGAGTTTTGAATGCCAATTCGGAGTCGGATTTGAGTGAAACTAATATGGTTGGACTCGTAATTTAATGGGTTATCGAATTTTATGATTTTTATCGGGTTCCGAGACACGGGCCCGGGTTGGGCTTTTGGGTCAATTTCGGGTTTTTTATTAAGATTCGACATTTATCATTGGAATTGTTTCCTTGGGTTTTACTTGATGTATTTGAGTTGCTTTTAGCTAGTTTTGAGCCGTTCGGAGGTCGGTACGTGCGAGATGGCATTGCGTAGCATCGTTTGGCTTGCTCGATATTAGATTTGGCTTGTTCGAGGTAAGTAACACTTCTAAACTTGGTGTTAAGGGTATTAAACCTCGAATTACGTGTTATATGAATTGTTTGAAGGTGACGCGCATGCTAGTGACGGGCGTGTGGGCGTGCACCATAGAAATTGAGACTCAGTCGATTCCGTAGAGCTGTGTAGTCAATTAACTTGTATCTTTCCATGTATTTGTAATGTGTTAGAGAAACTGAGTTGTAACTCATGTTAGAAATCATGCTTAGGCAAATGCCGGTATTATTGGGACCCACTGAGATCATTTCTGTTGTCGAATTATACTTTTAAATTGTAATTTCGTACTCGGTCATATACATTCATTGCATATCATATCTCAGTCTCTGTTGTTAATCATTGATACATCATATCATTATTTTGGGCTAGTTCCATGACATAGTGAGCACGAGAGACTAGAGAGATTGATGACTGAGTGAGGTCGAGGGCCTAATTGTGAGGTTATAGATACTATAGCATGTGAGTTATCCGTGCAGTACGTGATTTGTCCGTGCGGACCCAGATATTGATACTATAGCACGTGAGTTATCCGTGCGGATCCAGATATTGATATTATAGCACGTGAGTTGTCCGTGCAGCACGTGAGTTGTCCGTGCAGCACGTGAGTTGTCCGTGCGAATTATAGCGCTTGGGCTGAAGGAGCCCCTTCGGAGTCTGCACACACACCCAGTGAGCGCAGGTACCTATTGAGTGCGAGTGTCGAGTGATTGGGAGGACTGAGTGGATTGATACTCTGAGAGTATGCATACGGTTGTTCACTATGTTGTACTGCATTGACATGTACACTTGACATACAAGTATAAAGATGCATTTTTCCTCATGTTGTACGGTCTCATGTCGTTCATGACTTCTCATACACATTGACATAGAGATGTACTTTTCCTCATGAAATTTGATAATGAAACATTTACATGTTGAAAAGTTTTGGAAGGGAAAATCACGATTTTACAAACTTACTCATATTTTGGTATTTTCGGTAAAAGATTTAGGTTTTCACTGCTATACTTGAAAAGCATGTCTATTTTCTGGAACTGTGAACGAGATGAATATCTTATTTCTGAGTTATTTTCTGTACCACTTTTATTATATTTTTATGAGCTGTTGTTGGCTATTGGTGTTGGACTTTGACGTGTGTTCCAGCTCGTCACTACTTTCAACCTAAAGTTAGGTTTATTACTTATTGAGTACATGGGGTCAATTGTACTCATACTACACGTCTGCACCTTGCGTACAGATATTGGATGTTGATGTTGTTGTGATCGACAGGAGCGGGATTTGAAGACGTACCTGCGTTCCGGTTGTAGCTGCCTCTTGTTCATAGTAGCCTTAAATTTATAAAAATCTGTTTATGTACATTTCGAACATATGATGTATTTATTTCATACCAGCTTTGTAAATTCTAATCTTAGAAGCTCATGATTTGTACTATCAGTCCTTGGGAATTCTTGTATAAAAGCAGTTTTATTATCCTTTCTTTTCTTAATAAATCTCATCTAAATTTGAAAGTTTTTAATTGGCTTACCGGACGGGTTGGGTTAGATGTCATCACGACTAGGTGGATTTTGGGTCGTAACACCACCATGTCTCTGTATGGCTGATTCTTGTTGGAATTTAAACTAGGGAGCTCTACCACTTTATGATAAGTTAATGAAATGAGTAACGCCATTCAAAAATATAAAACTTATAAGGCACAAAAGAATGGAATAGCAGGACAAACATAAAACATAACTCCACCCTTACGACAACACACTCGACTGATCACTTATATAGCTATTGTTTGAACTCTTTGAATTCCTAGTAACATGAACTATAACTAATGATCATTAACAAAAGACACACACATCGGATAACTCAAATGGAAAATGAACTTAATTAGACGTTTATAATCAAGCTTTTAATAATTAAGCATGTTATTTTCAAAAATTCAATTATGCATGCTAGGTTTTGAAGTCCCGGGATTTCCTGGAATGACAGTCGAACTACTAAGGAACTTCTGAAGAAGTACATCCACAAGCCCTGTTAGCAAAAGGCGCACCAAAGTTGTGTCTTGAAACCTTATTTTGAAATGGAAAAGAGCCATAGGAAGATCTTGCCCTAGCACCAATAGGATCCAAGGCACTTCCAAAGGTGAGAAATGGGAATGCATTACTAGTCACCATTTGTTGGTTTTGTGCCTCTCTTTCAACTTTTTTCTTTATGCTTTCCATTGCCTCCTTCAGTTGTTGCAGTTGAAAAAAGCTAAGTTCTTTAATTGGAGCTTCCCACCAATGACTGTTATCTCTCTTCCTTGCTTGTAGGGCTTCTCTGCAATTTTTTCCCATTTGGAGAATCCCCTCAATGTTCGTGAACTCCATATTGAGATCACGGACACTAGCATTTCGATGAGCCACAATGAGCTGGTTATGGCCCATTATTTGGTTGAGAGTTCCTTGTGAGAAACCTATCCACTACCAAATCCACACAAGGGTGGCCAAATGAGTAAACTTTCTTGCCCGGGGAAGATACCACAATGGCGACTTCAGCACCACATAGTGTACAAAGGTCACTAGCCTTCTTGAAGAGACCAGCATGACGCTTAGAGAAAGTCACTTGTAAATTACTCTCGTTCTGCATCTTCACCATATCAACCTTTTGGCGACCCTTACTCCTTTTTGCCATGGCTAATTAAACACTCGGGATTTGAGAAACAAAGAAATTGGTGATTTTGAGTCTCAACACCAAGAGCTTTACGTAAGAAACTGTTATTTTTCATTCTCATTGTAATTGTTTTAGGTAAATGAATTCAAATAACTTGGGAGTCTAGAAACTTGTGTTCTTTCTTTTTTATGAAGGAATTGAACCAAACCCATTTTGCCTCCATTCTTTGTTTCTTTGTCTCGACTGCGCTAGTCCTTAATGATCATAACTAGACAATACATACTTTTATTAATTAGAATTATATTATTGGATTGCACTTGACCACCATTTTATAATTTGAGAACAAATTGAAGAAACGTATTAAAAAGAATATATTAAATAATCAGTATAACCTTTTATTTAATAACACGACTTTTCCATTTATGAATAATGTTTCAAAAAGTATTGACCAATTTATCAGCAATTGTTTTTTAATGAGTTTATATATATATATATATATA